CATTACACTGTCCGGCGCCTCCCCTCACCCACCCCGCTGTGCCCGTCCCCCAGAGAGGAGGCCATACGCGGCTCCCTGTGATTGTATATTGGAGTTTTAAATACCGTGTGTTTCACTGTTTCTCTTCCTCAGGGCCTTAGATGTAAACTGGGTCTTCTTTGGACCACGTTTTCGCTCTTTCGATCCTCTCTCATTTCTTATTCTCTCGGTGGTTTTCCTGTTTGTCACCCATGCCTCTTATTATGTCTTCACTTAAAACAAAATCACTCTTCCTTTTCCACTCTTAGGCATCATGGAGTCCCTCCCTACACATTGCAATCCCCTGGACCACGGAACAAACGCCGCCTGGACCTGCCCCTCCTCACCAGGTTCCAATGTTGGAGAACAGTGTTGCTGCCACTGTTTCAATCCATGTCATTAAGGGTCTCTCCTTTTTGTCAACGACTCTCTGTATTACCAAGCATGGTAAAATTTTAAGTGAGTTCTGCTCCCTCCAGATAATAGGGTTATCTCCGAGTTCTGCTCCCTCCAGATAGTAGGGTCAAAGTACATGAGACAAAAATGCCATCCACACTTCTATAGAACATGATGGTACTTCTCTCAACAGAGACCTCTTGGTTTGTTCTTCTGGAAGTCCACGGTCTATTTATTATTCAAAGGCATCCATTCATCTTTGATCTTCCATATTCATTGTTCAATTTTTACATGTATGTGAAGGAACTGAAAATATATGTCAGTGCTCAAACTGACATACTTGATTTTTACCACTTTAAAGAGATCTTTCACACCAGATTTTCCCAGGGTAATCTGTCCTTAAATTTCTGCTGCTTCCAATGGGCATTGATTGTAGATCCAAATAAAATTAAATCCAGGACGACTTCACTATTTTTCGCCATTTATTATAATGTCCATGAGTGTTAGCCTGGGTTGACTAGAAAACAAATCTACTCATTTATGTGTAAGAGAGAACTTTATATCAAAGTGTAATTGTACATTAAGAAAACAGCCCAGCCCAGCCCAGATCAAGTCCATGCATCCAATATTGGCCCATAAGTCCACTACCAGTCTATAAATTCCTCTTCAGACTCACATAACACATGCAGTGATGCTGAATGCAGGAAGATCACTGGCCAGTGGGTGGAAAGTCTTGTGGATCAAGTGGTGGTGGAGGCATCTCAGCACTGGCGTGGGTCTCCACGTGGCTCCTCCAGCTCCAAAGTTCTGGCTCCATCAGCATAGTTCCATCTGGCCTCTCAACAGGAATGTGAAGCAGAGCATGTGTGTGTCCCGCCTCCAAGAAGGAAGACAGTTGTTCCCAGGTTTCTCAGGAGAAGGCCATGCCAACACAGAGGCATTATTGGCTATGACCTGATTGACAGGCTAGACTCCACCCCTTCACTCAAGTTGACAGAAGATGACGTCACTGCCACACCATCTCATTAAAGTCAACTCTGTTATGAGAAGGCAGCTCTGCCCTGGTCAAATTTTGAGTGCCTTCCAATCTGAGTGGCTCCTCTTTGGGCACTCTATACAACAAAATCCCACTGCTCTTCATAAACTTTTCAGTGGTCAATATCTTCAGGAATGACTAGCCAGCCACTCCTTCCTAGTCTGTCTTAGTCTGAAGCTCCTCTGAAACTTGCCCACCCTCGGTGGCTCTGCTGGTGTTCGAAATACTGATGGCGTAGCTTCCACTATCACAGCGCCATGCATGCAAGCCCCACAGTACAAGGAACTGATGGACGAGCCCCAAGTATCATTGCCTTCTAGTCATTTCAACTCATAACTACCCTGTATAGTTTTCTTAAGATCATAAATCTTTAGAACAGCCTACTGCCTGGTCTTTCTCTAGCATAGTGGCTGGCGGGTTAGCTCCCCAAAGCCTGTCCCACGGCACCACCAAGGCTCCTTGACAATACACCTGTCCAACTGAGCCTGCTGTCATTTAGTCTTGGTGCGTGCTTCGACATTTTGTCTAAGGAGCTGCTTCCCTTTGCAGCAAGTCTGTTTCATTTCTTCCCCTTTGTTGTTGTTTTTGGTTACCGATCCAAGATTGTTTCCAAATCCCACTTCTCATTTTGATGACCCTTAACTTAGTTTGAGTCCTGTGTTACCGTTTCAATCCTCTTTTTGGTGGGGGAGAGGAATGGTAGATATTTGCATCAGCTAGATTGTTTGGGTTGCCGTTTCCTGTTTTGTTGCAGGGGCCAAGTTGGTCCGTATCTGCATGTTGCGGACAAGCCTAGTGCTGTAGGAGAGTGTGAGACCCCACAGGCGAGAGCACCCTTTCGGTCAGAGGAGTAAACCCTGGTTTGAGTTGTCCTCTGGCTTTATTGCCTTGTTTTCACTTGACTTCTTTTCACCGGACAGCTTGTTGTTCGGAGGCGAGGAGGAAGGGTTCTGAGGAAAGACTGTGTGCCCTTTGACTTTCTTTTCTTTTTCAGGATTATACATTTCCTTTTCTAGCTTCTTTTTCCCTCCGCTGCTCAGTCTGAAGGAGGACGCCCACTTTCTCTTAGCCTGTATCTTCCAGAGCATGCTCATTTGAAAATGACCTCTTTGCTTCCACCCGTTTTGGATCCCCTCTGCAGAGTCCGTGTTCTGCTTGATCCATCCGTCCACCCAGGCAGTGTGTGGCAGAGGTTGGATTCTCTCCCTTGCAGGGGTGATGGGCCTCCGCCCGCTCCATGCTTGGGTCTCCCAGGAGCGTTCCACCAGGCTGCCTTGTCCTCGCCAACATGTGTAGCAAGAGCACAGATGTCCCAATGACCTAACAGGATGGGTGTGGGGGGGGGGCGATAATTTTTATTGTTTTATGTTTGCAGGTGTCTCAAGCATTGACACACTCCACATGAAGAACATAAGTTTAATTTTACTTTTGGAATTTCTTGGGGATGGCTGGGTGTTTCTGACTTACAGGACTGTCATTCCTCTATTTCATTCTTCTTCTTCTTTCCTTTCTCTCAACAGTGCTTTAAATCCTATAACATTAGCTAAATTCATGACAATATCAAGAGAATTACCTTATGTCTCATGGGGAAAATGTATAATATTCTCTAGTAAAAAATAACAATTTGTCTTAAAACGGATCAGAGACATATATAAATCATAGCTATATGAATGGTTTGGGGGTTGCGTTTAATCATAACCTTGATTTAGGAATGATTTGTTCAGGTGACATGGTCCCTCTGTATACTGGTCCGCATGAAGAGATCACTGAAGATATGGATGCGATAGCGAAACATGGTAAAGAAAATCAGAGGGTGCCCACTTCTCAGGAAGAATAGTAGATGGCGTTTTAAAGGAATGTCTTAAAGCAAGCAGCTATCTAAGTGAAGTGTCAACTAACTACAAATGGAAGAAGCCCACCAGTCTTTGTGACCCAAAGATAATAAATATTAATATTCAAATCAGGAAGAGAGAATGGTGTCAAAGCTTAAATTCTGAACACTGGTTGGCAGAAAGTGATAGATGATAGTAGAAACACAAAATCCACTTGCAGGGTACCCACATAGATTAAGCTTCTGGTGAATCCCCTCTGACTGTAATCCAGGTACGTTACTAGCTTTGCTGTCAGAGAGAAAGTACTGTACAGTCAATTATGGCAGATGTAGTTAGGTTAAAATACAGCACCTTACCATTCGATCTCCTTTTCTACTCACTTTAAAGGCATTCCAATTTTTAAGATTCTGCTTTCTTTTTGAGGAAAAAAAATCATTTGCAAACAATGCACCCCATACCATGTGATTGGGCCCTAGTAGGTTCTGTAATTTGCACGATTTCTTTTAGGTTAAAGAAATCAATGGTGGAGTTTGAAAGAATCGTATTGACTCTTTAGCCTCTCACCCAACACTAGGTCTTCATGGACGCGCCACGAGAGAAGCGAAGCTCACAGAAAGCTCGCCCCTCTCCACCACCCCGCCCCCAAGAGCCAGAGGGAGGAGCATGCCCTAGGCGCATGTGTGATGGCTTGTGGGAAAGGCCAGTGGATGTGAGTGATACTGGCAGAGGTAGCACAACACACACACCAAATGGAAAATGCTAAGGGCAGGTGTGCCACGTGGCTCTCCGCAGGTGAACACGCGGGTGTGGAAACATCCATCCGATCCGATCTTGCCACCTTACTTTTCATTGTGCTCCAGGGCGGCTTTGGTGGCCCTCACGGCCACTTTCAAGTCCTCCCTGGCCTGGTCCACATCGGCCGTCTTCACAGGTCTGCTCTCTAGTCCCTCGATGTGAGCCAGCAAAGTCTAGAGGCGACAGGCACATAGAACAAGACAACCCAGCAGGAGGCTGCGTGCATATTGTCACTGCCGTGCATTCACACATCCTGGGCTAACGTGGAAGTTGGGGCTGAAGAAGCCAAGAGGAGCCCCTGGAAGGAGGGGGAAACCCGGAAGGGAGGATAGCTAGTCACTGAAATTTGTGGTAAAATGCTTGGTAGTCAGAACCCACCAGCTGTTCCATGCGGGAAAGATGACACTGTGCTCCCGTGACACTTCCCAGTCTCAGACCGCCCCGCAGCAGCTCTGCTCTCTCCTAAAGGGTTGCTCTGAGTTGGTTTCGACTCCACAGCAGGGAGGTCTTTTCCAAAGAAACGTTCTCAAAGGGTGGGACGTTTCATTGGGCTTTGGGGTTTGTTTGCTTTTTTTCAGTTGCAGAGGCTGTGCTGAATACACTGCTCCTGGTAATGATTTATCATCATCACAACCAATTCTCCTCCATTAAATCATGTGAGTCGGTGTACTCTGCCCAGAGGGAAAGTGAAGGCCTACTGACATGTGGGGCAACCATCTGCTTGCCTGAACTGGGAGGTGGCCACTGCCTAGCTTCCAGAATTTTTTTTCTTTTTCAGAAAGAAGGAAATCAGAATCAGCTTAGCTTGGAAGTTCCTTCTCGGCATGACCGCTGATCAAGATATGGGTCCATGCATCCCTTTGGGGCTCAGTCTCAAAAGGGAGGGTGGTAGACCCCAACTGGAGTCTTTCTTTGTTGGTGCCAAACAGGAAGCTGACTAATCTGCATCAGGAGCAACTCAACCCCAAACCAATGCAGGGTGCACTGAGAAGGAAAGTGGGGCCGACCTCCTGGTCATGCCCAGGTCTTGCCATCGGCTAAGCAGCCCTGCTTCCTCCTCTATGAGACAGACAACTTGAACATAACAGACTTGAAAATGCTGGTGGAGAGATGTGATTCCACAATGAGCTGTTACCTCGTACGGGGCCACTGGCTGGGAGTCCAGGAGGGTGGCCATGTAAACTTCGTATTCGTTCTGAATCAGAGAAAGGAGGCGCCATAAGACAAGTGTTGTGAGATAAAACTCAATCGTGTAAGTGCTGTTTTGAGCAGGTGTGTGTCTAAGCAACATGATGTTACAACTAGTTTCTAAAAATACATATGTTACTACAATGCATTCAGCAGTATAAATGGAACAAAAAGTGGAACATCTCACTATCTGGGAGCTATGTTTGATCACTAACTGTGGAATCCCTCAGAAGATTAATACAGGAGATGGGGCATACAAATAGACACGACCGATGCTGTGGGGGAAGCTGCAGTGGCTGGGGGGTGGTTGGGGTGGGTGAGGGAGTCATCTAACCATGACAACCCCTTCTCTGGAGACCATCTGCCATTTTAAAATGTGTCCTTGTCATTACGGCCATGGAGGAAGTAGGACCTGTCTTCAAGCCACCGGATTACAACTGGATTGCCCAGCTGCTCTCACTAAACATGTTTTATCTAAGAGTTCACAGAAGAACTGTGGGGCTAACGCAGACAGAAGTTCCCATTGCAAACGGAATCCATATTCTGTAGCCTTCCATCAAGGATGGTTCAACCTCCACAACTATGACCCAACACGCCTGCCGTCCGTCTGTTTTGAGCCAAACAGCAAGGTACTCGCATTCGTGAAGTATGTCTGCCTTGAGAATGGCGCTTTCTCAAAGGTGTTTCTGTAAGGGTCCTACTGACAGCAGCGCCTCAAGAGCCTAAATGAGAACCTCGGAGGTGGCAGGACGTTTGCATTAAGGGGACTGGGATAATTTGGGAGAGAACAGTGAGAACCGGTCACGCAATGTGGATACAATGTCAACAAACTGTGTATCTTCAATGGTGGAAGCAATGAACCATTTGCTGTGCTTATTTTCACACACAAAATAAAACTAATTTATAAAAAAGAAATTAAACCTGGCTGAGGGATGTGGGAGAGAGAGCGGATGCCTGGCCATGAATATTTGGGCCTCTGACAAGGGATATTTATACCTGTGTTCTGACTTTTAATGCAAATATACCCACTGGAGTAGACAGGGGCAACGGTATGAAAACTTCTTAGCCACAAGCAGACTCCTCAGGGGAATGAGTCGTTGGGCCTGAGGACTCAGGACAGTAGTCTTGAGGTGGGACACCCACTCTGTGGTAGTTACATAATCTGCTGTCCATTTGAGACTTAAGATTGAAGGGGTGGAGGTTAGCCTGTCAATCCGGTCCAGCTTGATGACCTCACTTGGAGGCTTGAAGGAGATAAATAACTCACTGGAGGCGGATGCATGCATACTCCCTGTGAGACATCGCAGCTGACAAAACATGAAGCTACGCTAGAGCCCTGGAGCTAAAGGTGCCACATGGAGGCCCCTGCCACCACTGAGATGCTTGCATTGCCACTGGATCCACAAGACCTTCCACCCACTGGTCTGTGATCTTCCTGCATTCAGTATCATTGCATGTGTTTCATGAGTCTGAAGAAGACTTTATAGATTGGTATCGGACATATGGGCTAATATTGGACTTATGGACCTGAGCTGGACTGGTCTGGGGTGTTTCCTCAATAGTCAATTGCTCTTGTATATGAACCTCCTTCTTATACATGTCTGAGTGTCTCTATGAATTTGTTTCTCTTGTCAACCCGGACGAACACTCCCCACCACCACCACCACAAGGACAGGAAAAAAAGAACGGAAAGGTAAAAGGGCTAACCCAGGCCCTCGGGGTTATGTTCATTAGAGCAGAGCATTATAGAGGGAATCCTGAACCAATCCCTCTAAGTAGTGTCTTACAGACACCCGTACAGGGGAAGATGGGTTCCAAGGATGGCCAACAGTCACCAACATGTGGAAAGAGGATGAAAGAAGGAAGAGGAGGAGACTAGCGTGGACATTTAGCCACCTGAATGGTGAGGAAGTATGTTTCTCTTAGAAGCTATCCACTTGTGGGTATCGTTTAATATAGTAGCATTAAGGAGCTAAGACGGTTACGTTTGTCATGAAATTATAACAAAGCTGTCCTCTTAACTCATGACTTCGAAGGTTTCCTATAAATCTGCCTATGTATAATTGTAAATGGTCACATACTACATAGGCACAAGCTGATATATTAATTAGAACAAGCATTATTGGGAAAAGCTGGGACGTCGGCCTGAGCTAGCTGGTTCGTCTATGCTAGGACTGGCATGGCTTTAAGCAGGCTCCATGGAGTCCCGGTGCATCCTCGTCCCTGTTGGTGGACCAGGGTCCCCGACACTTAGCGGAGTGTCTGTGAGGGTTGTGACAAGGGCTGCGACATTGTGCAGAGTTCTCAATGGTTACGTGGAAAGCGCGTGTTTTACCTTAATTTCTTTCAAGAGGTCACCAAAGATCAAGGAACTGTTACAGATATCTTCAAAGGTTTTTGCAAAGATCTGCAGCCGGCTGAACTGCGGAGTGTCGTACGTGTTTCTTTTCTGGAGCTCCTACAGGGAAGAGAGAAAAAGCCCAAGTCAGGGGTCCTTCACTCCCTGCTCAGGGCCCAGGGCCTCAAGCTCAGGCATGGCCTTCGCAGGAAGGTTCCCTCAGAGCGCCCAAGACAGTGGCGTGGGCGGAGTCCGTGGAAAATCCAGATGCCTTCCAGAGGTTGAGGATACTGATGACCTATTCACCCAGTTGTATTTTCTGTGGGTCTCTTTTCCCTGTTCATTCATTGCCTCCCACCCTCTGTTCAGGGTCCCCTCTTTTGCCTTCAATGCCCCACCTTCTCCTCTTTTCCCCCCCAGCCAAAGTTATTATCAACGTTTAGATCCTTCTCAAACATGGACTCTTGATTTCTTCTCTTCCCTGGATTTAGATAATGTCTCCAATTAAGTTGTCCTCCTCGTTGCCTTCACTCAGCTGGCTCAAGGTAGACTGTAGGTCACACTTGTATCTGTGTGATATCAAGTGGATTCCAACTCATGGTGACCCCATGGGACAGAAGAGAACTGACCCGGGGGCTTTCTAGGCTTCCATCATCACAGGAACAGACAGCTGGGTCTTGGCTCCAGCAGAGCTTCCAGGTGGTTCACACCACCCACCTCCAGGTGAGAGGCCTAGCGGAGTCCCCAGTTGTGTCCCCGACCCTCCTTTGTGCCACACTTAATGCCTTTTCTAGGCAGACCAGAGTTACATCTATTATGTAACTCACCACCATCTCCTCACCTGTCATTAGCATTCCATTCGAGCCCCTGGGTGACACAAAGTGTGACCTGTTTCACTCCAAGCCAAAAGGTTGTAAGTTCAAAACCATTCAGAGCTATGGTAATCTGCTCCCTGAAAGTCAAGGTCTTGAAAACCCTACCCCTGCCCACACTGAGATGCTTACACGGCCACTGGATCCAAAGACTTTCCACCCACTGGCCTGTGATCATCCTGCATTTGGCATCGTTGCATGTGAGTCTGAAGAGGACTTTATAGATTAGTGTCAGACATATGGGCTAATATCAGATTTATGGGCTTGGACTGGACTGGGTTGGGAGGCTTTCTTAATGTACAATTATCCTTTATATAAAACTCTCTTATACACGTATGAGTGTCTATGGATTTGTTTCTCTAGTCCATGCAGGCTAACACACCACGGCATTTCCTCTCTTCCAAGTGGAAATGCAACCTCCCGTGTGCCGCACAGAGGACTCTCACAGTATTTATTCTCCCCAACTATTGCCCACATGCTCGTTCTGTAGCAAAATGGTCCTTACCTGCTCCAACTTCTGCTGATGGTGCTCCACTGCCTTGTGCCCCAAGAAGTCGTTCTTCAGAAGATCTTGCTTTGCAAGGATGTCCTTTTGGAAGCACAGGAACTTCCTATATCTGTCGGCTTTTGTTATCCCCCCCAAATAGGAGTCAACCAACTGGTACTCCTCCCTGCCTGGGGGAGACAGTGCACACTGGCGGCTGGACTCTGAGGGCCGGTACTTGAGGATTCTCAGCTCGGCCAGTCTCAGCTCCTCTCTCGTGAGCTGCTGAGAGAGCACTGTGTGCACCTCTGTCTCTTCTTGCAAAGCTTCGCCTCGGGCCATGCCCAGAGGAGCAGCAGGAGGCTTGGGGTTCAGGAACCTGAAGAGTCGGGTGTTTGCAGCGTCGTCTGGAACCAGAGCAGTGTTGATGGTGAAATGAGCCCACGCATCCTTCATGTGGGCGACCTTCTGGGCCAGCTGCCTTTTCTCTCTGGGGGCTTTTTCCTCTCTCGGCCACTTGGCATTGGGCCAATGGTTTAAGATGGTCTCAGGAGGCCTGTAGAGCTTATTGGGGTTCAGGTGCCCAGAGATGTAAAGGTAGATGTCATCTCTGTGGTCTTTTTGAAGCCTATTGAGAAGTTTGGTGAGGTTGCATAGGGTCTTAATGCCTCGCGTTTCACAGTGTTTCCACTTCAGGTAAACTGTTCAGGAAAGACCAAGGAGACCAATCAGTGCCACTCTCCCCGCCACCTCAAAGAGTATGTGTGCACTTGCTGAGGGGGCGTGTCCCAAACTCAAAGGTCTAATGGAAGGTCATCCCTAAGCCAGCCAGTGCAGGTGAAAATGCCCGTGTGGGCATGCACAATGTGTCACCCCACCGGAAAAGAGAGGGCCCCACGGTCCAGGCAACAGGAGCCTGGGTTGACCATCACAAAGGCGGGCACACAGTGGACTATTTCTGACAGTGTTAGCAGAGGCTCTGGGACAAAAGAATCAAAATCTACCCATCATTCCCAGTGGTGATGTTGAAAGACCTCTCCTAAACTTAACCTCTAGAAGAGAACTTCATTTGGGGTGAAGCCAAAGGGCGCCAAAAACAAGGGAAACCTTCAGTGAGCTGGATGGACACACAGCCTAGACCATGGATTCAGACACGCCCACCTCCGTGGAGATGGTGCAGGGCCTGGAGAGGTTCGCACTGCTGTGCCCAGCGTCCCCACCGGTCAGCACCCACTCAGCAGCAAGTAACAGCAATGCACACCACAACATCCTGGGGACACAGGTGCCATCTTTGAGAAGGGAGATCTTTCGGAAGCAAGAAGATGGTGTGAAATAAAGATTCCGTTGTTTGGGGTGTTTCCCGCCTTAATGCTAAATTTCTCCAGAGTCCCAACCCCCTCAGTCACGGACAGGCCATCCACTACTCTCCCTTCTGTCTCCAGCAGAGACAGTGAACCTAAGGACATGTGGATTCTGACACCAAATTCACCGCCATGGGGTCGATCAGGACCCTCTAAGGTCTCTATAGGACAGAGAACTGCCCTGTGAGCTTCCACAGCTGTAGCTCATGACAGGAGAAGCAAGCCCCATCTTTTTCCTATGGCTCTTGGTCTCCTACACTTGACCTTGCAGTTCGCAGTCCAGTTCGGAACCCACGAAGCCACCAGGCCTCCAGAAATGTTGGCAGGGACTCTATTACCATCCATGAAGGTCCTCATGCCCATATATAGACACCACGTGGGCAGATGGCCCAAGATGTAAAATAATAAGTTTCCTAATCTCCAAGCTCAAAGGCGGTGTGCTGCACCCTGAGTTTCCTCCACTGCCTGCTCTGGAGAGGTGAATGACAACCAAATGGAAGCGTTTGAGGCACAGACGCACTTGGCATTAGAAGATGTCACTGGCATGGTGAAGGAGTACCATGCTGGGAAAAGCCCTGGTGACGTCGTGGGTAGACATTGAGCTGCTAACCACCAGGCCAGCAGTCCGAAACCACCAGCCACTCTGGGAGAAAGACCAGGCTTTCTACTCCCATAAAGACTTAAGCCTCAGAAACCCACAGGGGCAGTTCGACCCTGTCCCATAGAGTCACTGTGGGTCAGATTTGACTGGGTGGCAGGGAGGGAGGGAGGAGGGACCATGCCTGAGGCTCAGATGGAGCACACGCAGGCCCAGCTCCTCCCCATCCGTAGGGCATTTCTCCACTGGAGCAAAGAAAGGCTCTTTCTGGGTCTCTGTTGAAATCGTCCCAGACAGAAACAGCCGGCCACCAGCACAACAGACTCAGAGAACTCCTGGGACTGGGCAGCCCATTCACACTCAGCAACATCTAAGTCCCAGCTACGCTGTTAAGTATGCCCTTGCGTACAACCAGGCTGCGGATTTATCTGTGTCCATACACCTGTGGATCCTCATAGCCCCACACCCATCTGCTCTGCAATGAGTTCATCCCTGTTTCAAAGCTAAGCGTGGCTGAGAGATGCTGGGGCCATTCAACTCTCATGTGTGACAAATGTCTGAGAGACGTCACCCTGCTTGTGGGATGGTTACCTTGCTCTTCAACCCCCTGAGCAATAGGAGCTGGAGCAGGCTCTCCGGGACCACACACATTTCTGTGACCATTCATGTGGTCTAGCAGTAGTAACCATAACACCAAGACACGTAGTCCCCCATGTTCACCAAGGAGATGAAGCAACGGGCCCAGAGAGATGAGGGGATGACAGTGTGGTAGTTACATAGTCTGGTGTCAGTCTGAGGAGTAAGAGTGTGGGGATGGAGTCTAGCCTGTCAATCAGGATATAACCAGGGAGGCCTCTGTGTGGGCGTGGCCTCCACCTGAGGATTCTGGGAACTCCAGTATTTTCTTCTTGGAGGTGGGAGACTCTCTCTCTCTGCTCACTCCCTGAAAGACACTCTACTGACAAGATGCATGGCACTATGCCGATAGACCCCATGTCCTGGGACTGGAAAGCCAGATGGAGACCCCTGCCGGCACTGAGATGTTTCTACTGCCACTGGATCCACAAGACTTTGTACCCACTGGCCTGTGATCTTCCTGCATTTGGCATCATTGCATGTGCTTCATGAGTCTGAAGAGGACTTTATAGATTGGTATTGGACATATGGGGTAACATTGGCCTTATGGACTTGATCTGGATGGGGCTGGGAGGTTTTCTCAAAGTTCAACTGCTCTCGTGTATAAAGCTTTTTCTTACACATATGCGTTGTCTATGAATGTGTTTCTCTAGTCTACCCAGCCTAACACAGGTGGCTTCTGCTTCCGAATAGCAAATTAAAAGATACAACCTAGAAGATACACAGCAGCAACTGACCAGTTGCCCCAGAGTTGATTCCAACTCATGACAATTGTGTATGTCTGACAACTACTCCTCCCTCGGGTGTCTAAGGATTGGTTCTTTTCAGAAGTAGATTGATCCCGTGTCCTGGTATTTCCAATCACGTCTATGAACATGAAAGTTGGGAAGACCAGAGAAAAATCAATGCACTTGAATTATTTTGCTGGAGAAAAATCTTGCGAGTGCGATGCTCTGAACCAACATCCGTTTGAGAAGGACAGAAGAGTCTTTAGAAGCAAGCATGGTGAGACTTTGTCTCGAGTACTTTCGCATGATATTAGGAGAGACCAGTCCCTGGAGACAGACAGACCACAGGACAGCATCCTGGGCAAAGCACAGTGACAAAGAAAAAGAGGAAGACTGTTTTGAGATGGCCAGGCACAGCGGCTATAAAACACAAGACCAACTGTGAGGATGGCCCAGGACGAAGCCGTGCCGCATCCTGTTGTACACGGGGTCACTAGGATCGAAGCTGACAACAACAGCCCGACCACCAGATCTCACGTGCGCAGTGACTCGGGGCGGACTGGGACCCCCAACCTTTGGGGTAGTGGGCAAGTGCTTAAACGAGTGTGCCACCCCCGTGTGTCAGCTCACAGTTGTGTGGACGAGGCACAGCACATTCAGACTGGGGCTGTTGGAGGGCACCCATGGAGAAATCGAGGTTGAGTTCTCGTTGGAGGGCGTTAGGAAGGGATTATCCAGGCTCAAGGGTGTCACTGGCAAACTCAATGACATGCACTTGTTTCCACCCCAACCATCAGCTGGAGTCACGTTTGGCTCCAAGAGGCCATCTGAATCGCAGTGACCTGGGGGCCCCTCCATCACCGAGCTAGAAGTGCCCCTAAAACTCCTTTATATGCCTCAAGCCTCTGGCTCCCTCCTCTATGCCCCGCACGGAAGCCTCTGCTCTCAGAGAGCTCATGTGAGTGGTTCTGGCCCATGCTGACAGTCTCCCACTACAAAGTCCACAGTGAGCGCCCCATGGCACAGTCAGTGGGGTGTAATTGCCTCCTGCTTGTGAGGGGTGTTTCCACCGCTTTCTAGAGAAGCTTGGGGTCGGTGTAGAACCCTGCTGCACTGGGAGCCCTGTTGGTGTTGTGGTTATGAGTTGAACTGCTAACCACAGTGTGAGTAGTTTGAAGCCATCGGCCCCTCTGAGGGAGAAAGACGAAGCTTTTTACTCCCATAAAGAGTTACAGTCTTGGAAAACCATACAGGCAGTTCTATCCAGTCCTACTGGGTCAGAATCAATCAGAGGTTTTTATGTTTGGGCATTGCTTAAGGACAATGCCAACCCTAGAGCCCTGGCACCTCTTGACCTGTCCAGTGTGAAAACCAGCTACTCTGTCCTGCTGGGATACACTGACAGCATTGGAGCAAAGTGGTTTCACAGTGGGATTTCTGAGAATCCCTCCCACGGATTATCTGAGTACTTCAAGGAACGCATTTGTGAACTATTAAAACCGCAATGGAACAGTTTTTCAAGGCAGTTAATCATTGTAGTTCATCATAGGCATTAACAAATAACAATTCAAAGGCATTTTATGCCAACACTCTTCGGAAAATTGGCAGAAGGCAACTTAATTGGTGTTGTGTTATCCCATGTTTCAAAAAGAAAAAAAGAATGTGAAGCCAATTAATTAGCACCAGCATTTTCCCGCTGAGAATGATAATCTTCACTTTAATCTTTCCCTCGATGTGGTAAGACTTGCTTCACTGGGTCCCAGGAATGTATGCTTCCGTTCTCTGCCAAGTTCTCATAATAGAGACCAAGGGTCCTCCTCTGGCAACCAAAATGTCCCTAATGTAAAGACTGCTCTTCGCATATCTGATCCTGTCACCCTGAAAAACTGCTAAAATAACTCACTGCAAAAAGTGATCCTTAAACGAACTTGGCTGTAAGTACAACCAAACTCACTTTCTGGATATAGTGATAAAGAAAGCTTAAGTCTTCACACCAGGTTTGAATGAATAAACCTCTTTCATTATGGTAACAATTTCTTTTAGAAGAATCCATACCAGGCCTGGCCCAAGTCACTGGAGATTGAAGATGTCCCTAATGTCCGACTCTTCCTTGATGCTATTCTGCTCTGTTTCCTGATTCCTCCCGTGAGCATCTCCCCTCACGTCCCTGGGTCTCATGGACATTCACACAGCCTTGAGGATGTGTCTCCAGGGGTGGTGAGTGGGTGCTGTTCAGTTCCAAATCCGAAAGTCCGCAGAGGGGAGCCACATGCAGGGCCCAGAGCCAGTAGGTCTTCTTGCTTCTACCAAAGCTGAGTCAGGAAATAGGGGTGTGGCTTTGCAGGTGAGGCGATGCCCGTTGGAGCTGTGCTGTGGTGCTAGCACCGCGTGCACACCCCATCAAGGAAAGCAAAGAGTGGAGCCTTAAGTCCCCGTCTGGGGATGCCCCCAGGGAAGCAAAGGAGGTAGGCTAGTTAACACCCTATGCGAAAGGCAGGCCTTAATGCCACCCGAATCTGTCCAAGAGTAAAGAACACCCTCCAAGTGGGGTTCCACCCACAGCCACAGAGTCCAGAATCATCACTGTACGGCGTTCTGGCTAGAAGGGCCCGATGAACTGACTACAACTCATTCATCGCCGAGCATTTCCAAATTGAAAATGTTGTTTATTATGAAATGGTTTTCTCCAAAATACACGCAACAGACCTTTAATGCCAAAATTAATGGACATCGCTGGCCCACGTTTCTCCTCTCTGGGAGTCTGTGAGGATTCTACTTGGTCCCTTTTTAGAAAGTTCTTCTTGTCTCTGACACTGACCAAACCATTTTTTTTCTTTAGCTTACAACTCTGACTCATAGGAACCCTACAGAGCAGAGCAGAGTGGGCTTCCCAGACTGGGAAACATTACAGGAGTAGAAAGCCTCGTCTTCTCTTTCAGAGCGTCTGGTGGCTTCAAACTGCTGACTCTGCAGCTTTGCCCAACACAAACCCCCCAGGCCACCTCAAGTTAGCAAGCATCCCACAGAAAGAAGTACTTTCCAGCTGCTGGGAAGCGAACTCCGCTCACGGACAGAAGGCAACTGAAAATATCAGGGTTTGGGTCACCAGCACCCTAGTCCTCAAGGTAACAGCTTTCCTTTTTAACACTCAAAAGGCTTTTTGTAGCAAATGTGTCATTTGCCTTCTGCACTGGGACTCCCATGGGCCTTGACGGTGGGCCTCGGGGTGCACTGAAATCCTCCACAGCTTCCGTCTGCCCTCCGTTTAGCGCGGTGTTGCTTATTGGTCCAGGGTGAGGACCTCGTTCTAAATTGAGATGGCGTCAGTAGGGCAGGCCGTCATCTTTGATCTTCATCAGCAAGCGCTTCAATCCTCTCAGTTTTTAGCAAGCAAGGTGTGGCATCTGGGGGTCACCTGGGGTGGCTGATCGTTCTGGGTCCTTAGAATCCAAGACTTTCTTTGGCTGGAGACAGAGCAGAGAGCCTGCCTGTGGGAGGCTGGGGAAGACTTGGGGGCTGTTCGAAGGAGGGGCCACCCAGAGGGACTGGGACAAGCAGAAGACCTTTGGATGGCCAGCAATGGCACAGGACGTCAGTCCCACAAGCACAGGAGCAGCAATGTGTCACACAGGTTAAGCCAGGGAGCAGACCCTTCCAGAGCCTCCTGAGGGGAGCACAGCTGCTCACCCATTGGCTTCCGCTCTGAGCAGAGCCTGTCAGGGTCCCAGTGCTCTGACCCAGAGAGCAGGGAGGGCAATGGGACCGAGATGCCAGCCACCTGGCTGGAAGCTCTTTCTCATCAGAGCAATGAAAGCTCATCTATGAGGATACCCCCACTCCCCCCACCATCACACACACACACACACACACACACACACACACACACACACACACAAAGCTTTCTGAATAATCGGTCCAAAAACAACCCAAAACCTCCTGCCTTCATGTTCATTCTCACTCACAGCAACCCTATAGGAGCGTGAGGAATGTCCCCTGAGGGCTCTCCGCACCTGTCAGTCTTCCAGAAGCGCACCGCCTTCACCATGCAGGGGCTGGGCTCCAACCTCCCCATGGAGCTTCGCAGCCTTGCTGTTTTAACCATGGTGCCACCAGAGTGAATTAGCATAAGCTATCCCCAAATAGACCTCACACTCATCCACGGCAGCCACATTGAACCTATACACACACTCACACACTGACACAAACACACAACTACAGACAGCAAACACACTCACCAACACACACACACACACACACACACCATGTACACACCTACACTGACATCCACACACACTGACACACCCCACACTCTTCCTGAAACACACTCACTCTCCAGCTTACACAGCGACGCACATGCACTCATATTTATACGCATGCACAAACATCAGGACACACCTACACTGATACAACATCACACAGAGTCACCTACTCACACGTAGACCCAGACACACACAGACACACTGACTCACAGACCCAAACACATGCAGCACACGGACACACTGCCAGATGTCGAACACTCTAGCGTGAACACTCAAACACACACACTCTTATACACACTCCTACACACACAAATATTCTCATACACATGCAAACATACAGATAAACTCACACTCCCACACATACAAATATACTTACATACACACTCACACACCTACACATAGGAATACACACGCTCACATGGGTGCCCCACCCCTCACTTTGGCCTTCTGGTTTCATTTTTCTGAGACATCAGTCACCTCCAATCACCCTCAGCCCCCAGATATTGTGGCTGATCTGCGACCAGCCCAGGGTCTGACTCTCCAGGGGCCTCAGAGAAGCCGGCTCCCTGCCATGGGGCTCAGACAAACATCAGCCCCAAGCCCTGCCACCCGCGCCCTCTCTACTCACATCCGGGCTCCAGGCCCTCCGCCATGTCCGCTGCAGAGACAGATCAACATTCCCGCTGCTAGGCAACCAGGCACAACTCCCCTCCCCCCTCGGAATCTCCCATCGCTGCACCTGCTCCTCAACCAGAAGTCCTGCTGTTGGCTCCTTTGTAGTCCTTTCTGAAGCAAAGCCCTGGCTGTGCGATTTGAACTGTAGATATAAGTCCTTGTGCCCCCTAAGCCTTTCCCAGCACCTGGGTGTGAAAGCCAACCTGGTTGAGCTTCTGGAGAGGTGTACCTGTTGGCCCCTGCACAACTGAGACAACTGACTGACTGACTGTAGCTGGTGGATTGGGCAGTGGTGGGATTCAGAGAATCTAACAGCCAGTTCACTGTCCCAGTGACTGGTTGAGTGATTAAAAGCCAGTATACTGAAAGGAAGGTCATTATTTCATACAGCTGATGCTTAAAGAGGTACACAAAACTAGATTCTATTATAAGAGCTTTAAAATAGTAATGAGAAAAATGTTCATAATACCTGAAGAAAATCAATAATGTTGTTATTTCCATCTTGCTTCTTGCTCGGTGGCCTCGCTGGCAGTATTTTCCTCTTGCATCTGAGCCTCGTGGGCTGGGTGGTTTATCCTGAGGCATCTTTTCACTGTAGGAGTGGGATCCCAGTCCTTTAAAGGCCGGCCAATTAGATTAGAAAGAGTTATGCGACTCCTCTTCTCCAAACATATTAGGTTCAACTTTGAAAAACCCCTTTCTGCTTCTGCTGGACTTACAGTCATTGTTCCAACAGTGTTTATTTTTTTAGCTTTTTGAACACTTTCTGGAATTGCATAATTCACTCATAATATCCCATAGGGATTTAGGGCATCGCTCCAAGCTGAAACAAATGACCCTGGTTGCAAGTGCCACTTTAACCACCAGCTTCCAGAACTCAACAGAAAGTTAGGTATTGGTTCTGCCAAAGCAGTGTGAACCAGCTGAATCCCACCATCGGGTCTAGCTCCTATGTGGTGGCAGGTCCTCAACAATCCCTTAGTCACTTTCATGGAGACCCTGTGAGAAAAAGCCCCTAGCCCAATGTCATTATCAGGGAGTAAGTGAAAGAAAGGGGAGACGTGTGTTTGTTTGACTGCAAAGCCTGGGCCTCTTCTCACGGCCACCTCAGAGTTTATGGGGCTGCACTCCTGTCACCCTCTCTAAAGGATCTTCCCGCCAGCCTGTGTAAGTGTGGAACGGTGAGGATGCTTCCTCTCAGGAAGCAGGACTCTAATGCCAGCCCTGGGCACGCACCGATGCTGAGTGGAAAACAATGATGGACCACGCCACAGAGGTACGGGAATCCACGGGAGGTGCAAATGGTTAAAGTGCTCCACTACTAGCTGACAGGCTGCAGGCTCAAGTCCACTTACACTAGAGGGACCCTGGGAAAATCAGCCTTGGAAACCCTATGGAGTTGTGGAGCAAAGCACAACATCTTAAATCAGGCCAGGCATGTGCTCCACCACTAGCCGATGGGCTGCAGGCCCCAGTCCCCTTGGAGGGACAGGAAAAGCAGCCATGGTAAACCCTGTGGAGCTGTGGAGCAAAGCTGCCAGGCTCAGTGGTTGGAGGGAAACTGGTGGAAACACCAAGACCATAGCCCTTACCCGCCTTTCAGGTCGGGCTCTGAGTCTCCACTGTGACTCAATGTCCAGCCTGTCAATGGACAGGTCTAGAAGGGGAACCAGGCATCCAGCGTAGGACATTGTCCTGAGAACAATCAACCAGAGGAGCAATGGCAACAAGCCACGTGGAGCACCGCTCTGCTCTGCACACAGCGGTCAGCAGTGAGCACCCTGGTCCCTGAGTCATGGCAGGGAAACTGGACAAACCCCAAACCAAACTCCCTGCCCTCCCATCTACTCTGACTCTAGGCGTGCCTGTCAAGATGGTGGCCTGTCCATGGGGGTCATCAGATACCTTTGAAGGCTGGCCTTTGGGAAGCCTCAAAGTGGCAGGACAGTGTCGTGCTAACAGCTAAGTGTATTTGACACTCAGCCTGGGGAAGAGGGCAGCCCAGGGTCCTGTGATTTACTTCTTGCCCACGTTTTAGATCTCTCAGCCCATTTGGAACGGGCCCTAGTAGTGCAGCAGTTTAACCACAGGGCTGATAATGGAGAGGCCAGTGGTTGTAGCCTACGGCCACACTGCAAGAGAATATGGATGCAATCTCCTGCCTCCCCACAGATGCACAGCCTGCCAAAACCCTATGCAGCAGCTCTGCTCTGTCCTGTGGGGTCGATGTGAGTCCGAATCAATGGCCCTGGGTTTAGGGTAGCCCGCCTGGAAACGTGAACAGGAAAATGCCGCAAGACCAGGGGCACCAAAGCAGGGGAGTATGTGGTGGGCTGTACCATCACTTTCAGAGAATCATGAGGGGCTTCTCTGGGTGGTGGCTTAGAGGGTTGCATGCGAAGCTGCAAAACATAAGTTCAGCAGTTCAAATCCACCAGCCCCTCCACATGAGACAGATGGGCTTTGAAATTCCACAAAGAATTACAGTCTCAGAAACCCTTGGGGGAAGTTCTACCCTGTCCTATAGGGTTGCTATGAGTCAGAATTGACAGGGAGCTTGGTTTGAGTTTGGCTACCAATGATGAGAAGCCAGCCCAGGGCTTCTTGGCCAGGAGGAAGCAGCCTTTTGAGAAAGCAACCGCCTATTCTGATAGGTGGTCAAACAGGCCACCCTTCAACCCTTTGCAGATGAGAAAAGCTCTTGTCTGTGGTCTTCTGATGATGGACAAGGGTCTTGTTTTTCAAGGGCCTCAAAAGAGCCAAGGGTGGGATGTGCAGCCTGGCCAGGATCCCACCCCAGGACAGCGTCCTGGTTGAGAAGGATATGGCCAATCTCCAGAACCTGCAGTTCTCCCAGTCTGCAGCTAGGGAGGCAAGCGTGGGGGTCCATTGGCCCACACCTTGAATTGGGCCTTTATGGGGCTTGTATGATGTTTGTATGAGGCCTGTATGTGGTATATATGGTGCTTGTAGGAGGTTTGTATGGTGTGCTTGTCCAGGCTGACTAGAGAAACAAATCCAGAGACATTCATATATGTATAAGAGAGAACTTTATATCAAGAAGCAATTATGCATCAATAAAGCATCGCAGCCCAGTCCAGATCAAGTCCATAAGTTCAATGTTAACCAATAAGTCCAATACTAGTCCATAAATTCCTCTTTAGACTCACACAACACATGCAATGATGCTGAATGCAGGAAGGTCACTGGCCAGTGGTGGAGCCAGTGGTGGTGGAAGCATCTCAGCACTGGCATGGATCTCCACATGGCTCCTTCAGCTCCAGGGCTCTGGCTGTCATCCGCATAGCTCCATATGGCTTGTCAACAGGAATGTCTTGCAGGGAGAGAGTGTGTCCTGACTCTGGGGAGGAAGACAGGAGTTCCCAGAATCCTCAGGAGAAGGCCATTCTTGCCCAGAGAACTCATTGTCTATGACCTGATTGACAGACTAGAGTCCACCCCTTCACTCAAGTTGACAGTAGATTATGTAACTTCCACCTATTGGGTTTGTGTATGGCTTGTTTTGGCTCATGTGGCTCAAGACAGGACCTGTTGTCTGAAGCACAAAAGCCATATCAGGCTTACCTGGAAGAGCAAGCCCAGACTCACTGTTCTGGAGTTGATTTCAAAACAGAGTGACTGCATGGGACAGAGTCAGATTGGCCCCAGAGATTTTCCAAGACTGGAAACTTTGGAGAAACCCACTGTCCTGTGGAGTGGTGGGGGGGTCTCAGGCACTAGTCTTGCCCTGAGCTGCTGGCACTTCAACCAGTGCACCACCCAGACTCCTGGTGGAATTGTGCCAAATTCGCTGTGATGGAGTCGGTATGGAGTCTGAGTGACCGGAGAGCAGAGCCGCCGCTCCTCGGCTGTAGAGTGGACTGTGACTCACAGTGCGTCTCTCGCCTAGGGCAGAGCTGCCCTACAGCTTTCCCGGGCTGGGGTTCTTTATGGGAGCAGACTGCCACATCTTTTTCCAAGAGGGACTACTGGGTTTGAACTACCAGCCTTTCAGCTAGCAGCCTAGGCCTCAGCCACCGTGCCACCAGGGCTGCGGTTGGTGCTCCTAAACGAAACCACATCAAACTCACTGCCGTCGGGTGCACTCCGACTCCCCGTGACCACCCAGGGAGGAAGAGACTGTAGCTCTTCCTTAAAGAGCTGTATTGGCTTAGACTTCACAGGTCATGCAATCCAATCGCTCACTCAAATTAAGAAGAGTTGTGCCATCATCCCCACAACCAGTTTCAGAACACAGATCATGCTCTTATCAAAGTCATTGTCATTAGCTCCCATGTCTCCATCCTCCCCTTCCAGGCCCCAGGTCACCATCTCCATAGATCTACGTATCCTGGATTTCATCACAGAAAATTATACAAAACACAAACAGGAAGCTAATAAACAAATAAAACAACAACAACAATAATGGTCAGACAGAAGAGCACAACCTCTATCAAAAATAAAGCAGAAAATATAAAAAGTGGAGGCAACTTTAAAAAGGGTCAAAAGGCTAACAAAATGATAAGGGATGGCATTTTAGCCTAACTATGCCTGCCATGATCAACTGTCTGATAGCCCGGCTCTTCCCACCCCTTGACTGTGCTCCATGTGTGGACACTGCAATGGCTTTGGTTCGCCACTGTCATCCACAGCCGTCTGCAACCAAAGTGTTTACAACAAACTCGGACACCAATTCCTCCTCCGAAGTTTGGCTGTAAGTCTTGCCAGGAATAGAAAACCTCATCTTTCTCCAGTGGCTTGCATAGAGGGGGGTTTTATCCAGAAACATGGGGAAGGGGCATTACAACAGAGAGAGTGACCTCCTGTGATAGCCAGGACTCTGACCCCACCCGAGGTGGGAGCTGCGAGAGTGTTAGGGGAAAGATGTTTCAGCTGATGGAGACAGAGCATTAGCAAGACCAGATAAAGTGAGCCTGCTCTGGGGAGGGTCAAATACTTCATTCACCTGCAAGAGGCT